AGATAATTGCCAAGTGGCAAAAAGCACGTGACTTGAGAAGCACGTGATCATATAGACGTGGGGTATAAGAGCGGTGTGAATGTGTGGTTCTTCTCTCTAGATTCTCCCCTGCTAGTACCTTGATCTCAGGCCTTCAGGGTTGCCCTATACTTATATCCAACCTCTACACTGACCATCAATATCAGTATCAATAATTAATAATATAATTATTATCTTATTATCTAGCTTATCTCCTTCTTGTTTCATTTTATTAACTAGGGTTTGAAGAGTGAAGAATCATGTTTCTTTAGCCTGAGGTTCAATAGTACCAGGCTATCAAAAGGCCTAGAAATATGCTGTTATAGACTAGATATCTATACAACTTGATAATCAATTGAGAGTTGAGAGATAATTAATAAGAGAGTAATAATATCTATTATATACCTGTTAATACACTGTCTATGTTATATAAATAATATCCTATCCTATTATAGGTTTTTTTAGTATGCTCATAACTCTATTTTAGTGAGTCAATATATTATGTATCTAGTATAACCTTATGTAAAGTTTAACAACTGTAAAACTTCTCTGGCTGGAAATTTAATGTTAAGTTGATAAAGTTATATTCTAAAAGGCTATGCTGTATTCTTCAGGTGATAGATAGATAGATAGATATTAATTAACAAGCTTATAGAGTAGCTATTTAAGGTTTCTCATATAGGATTCAGCTATAATGTCATAATGATGATGCTTAGATCATAGACTGATCACCATAGTGATATGTTATTAAACTCTTGATGTCTAATTATCTCGGCACTGGCTGCTTTGTTTACTATAACTCTTGTATGGTTAAAAAGCTACGATGAAGACGGATTATCTGAAGACTATTTCAACCCTTCGAGCAGAGTCATCATCCGCATTGGTAAGGAGAGATGCTGGTGTATGACCGCTCAAAAAGGCGCTTCGTGATTGACCACCTCTTGCCTCGAGTAGCATGTCGGCCTGTCGAACATAACCATCCAGCAAGGCTTTTGCAACCGCGGAGGACTGAACAAACAGCATTAAAGGCCGAATAGAACCCAAACGACGTGATAGTAAGCTGCAGTGCAGAGTGAAAAAGCGTTCGCCCAGTACAAATAGCCACAAGTCAGTCCTTGGCGGTATGAGCATTTGTCTCTCTTGTGCAGTGAGATTCTGTCGCCCTTCAAGAGCTGAGTCGAGAATTGAACGTGCATGCCGATCTTCCCGAGGTCCTGCACCCGCTGTTGGCTCCCAATAACCTCCAGTAACGCCAAGGTACATCTCCCTAGGCACATCCTTCATGAGGTCCAAACGCACAACACGACCGCAGCATACTTGAAGCGGGTCTACAAGGTCTGCATACAGGCTCTTGAATGCTCTTGAACTGATCGGAGTAGATGTAAGCTCATTAAAAAGGTCCCGCTCGCCTTCGAATTGCTTTAGAAGCTCAGCTTTGAGTTGCGAGGATGCTACATATGATGGTGGGGTGGGGATTTGACTGAGTCGTAGCCGAAGATCGGTGATGATAGCTTGAAGAGTGGGGTCGGCTTTGTAGGTTGGCAGCATACCACCGTCAGATGAATTGAGGCTCCAATAACCACAAACGGCCTGAAGTATACGTTCAATCTCTGAGTAGACTTCCATGTAGCGAATCTCCAGTGAATTGGTGATGAATGGGGTGAGAAGGTGTGGAAATGAATAAACAACAACGGTAAAGCCAGACTCTTTGAGAAAGTTGACAAAGCGGACAGCTGCTTCCGCGTCCAGATCATTCCGAGGCCGTTCGTCTGGTTGGATGGAATAAGTAAGGCCAACATAGACCAGGAATTTTGCGTGGCATTGCAACCCTTCCAATATGGCATAGCGACCTGGATTATCGCGGATCTGCCCCACAACTCGTTCAGCGAGGGCCTGTAGACCATGCGGCTCCAGAAACGATGACATCTTCTCGTAGATTTCCATGACAGTGACACCAGTTAGTATGAGTTGGCGAACTGTCCACTCTGCGTCCGCTGGAAAATTTTGAAGATAGCGAAAAAGGACCACCTTCAGTTCCGGCCCAGTTATGCTGATGATACGGATATAATAGGCACAAGCATTTGAAGGTGGAGCGTCATTTGCTGAGCAAAGCACAAGGGTGCCGTTGCCAACAAAAAGACTCCAAGTCGAAATTAGTGGGGTCTCGGGCAAGCGCGGCCAGGAATTGGATAAGATTTGGTGTCAGACGTGACCATGTTGGCGAGTCTGCAGGAATTGGGGTGGACTGGGTACAGCGCATCCAGGTGTTGACATAAGTTTGAATGTCTGACAGTGTTGCAACGGGTGGAGGTCGAGCGAGCAGTGTTGAATTGTCTGTGGCGGCCATATGCTCGAGCCTTCGCAAGGAAACCTCTGCTACCAGGGACACATGGGCTTTCCCGCTTGCTTGAACACGTCTCTTGTATTCATCCTCGTTTTCGTGGGCATCTTCCCATCTGCCAACGCGGCGAATATAGCCTTTCCACGCACGTTTTCTCAGCTGGTCTGGGTTAGCGGTATAGGATAAGAGTTAGGATGAACGTGCCTCGTCATTCATCTTTGCATCAGCAACAGCAATTGTCAGGACGCGCTTCTGGATTCCCACCTAGAGAAGAAATTAGCAGTAGACTAGCAGCAAGAAATTCAACGTGCCTCGTCCTCAAAATCAGAGCAGTCCGAGTCATCATCCGACACCTCCCAATCGAACTGCCTCCACTCTTCATCCTCTTCGTTCTCATCTGACGCGTCAGATGCCTCCGAGTTGTCGTGTGATTCAACTTCCTCCGACTCCGATGGCTCCCAGTCCTCGTCGTCAGCTGTGGTCGAGCGCTGTAGCTCTGTCAGTTAAAATCTGGAGCACTGGAGCAACTCAATAGTACTGACCCCGCGCCCTCTGCTCCTCCTGTCGACCATGACGGCTCTGGCAAACAAGCAGCCCGGCTCCTCTCAGAAAGAAACGTAAAGTGCGGGCAGTGGTTCTTCCATGATAAGAAGCGCTGAGCTGTTCGTAGATCGATCGACGTCAACCGAGGTTGGCTATCTGCTATGGTTTTTTTTTTCAAACAACACTAAGTAAAACGGTTCTTACACAGATTGAATGTCATTGGTTGGTAATGACGCGTTAACAGTCCCCAATATGCAGCAGTAAGTCGCGTCGAAAGACACAGGGTTATTGACCCAATGAGGAAAGGTCGAGCACAAATGTTGTCACCGGAAGAAGCTTGTCATGTCATCCGGGACGAATAACCAGGAAGAAGAAACTGTATTGGCTACAGGCACAGATACAACAAATGAGCTGTTGGTGACGTAGATAGCCAAACTGGCCAATATGTCCATCGGAATCTAGATAAACAGGTTAGTTGATTTACGGTGCAGAACTGGCAAACACGCACTCGGCATGTACTCGGACATTGCGTTGTCAGAGCTGCCTGCCTCTCATATGAGCTCGACGACATTGGTGACTGGGAGTCGAAGGGTGTGGTGCTGCCGAAAACGACTAGCACCAGGAGGCTGAAGCTGTGGACGATGAGGAAAAGTGTGCTTGACTGTGACAATATGTCACAATCAACAGTCAAAACATATCGCTCAATCATTCTAGTATCACATGATCGATAGTTTGTCTCGATGCTTTTGGACATAGCTCAGTACATATCCAGACAGAGTATGTAGCTCAGATTTCAAAGCAATCATTATATTGGATATACTCAAAGCAATAAAATTGTTAATTTTTGTTGAAACATCAATTCATTGTAACCAATTATTTCTAGGTCAGATCTCATCAGGCAAGTGGGAGATGAAAGAGTGTATCTATCACCTTCTTACATCCCATTTTCTAAGGCAGGCCCCTCACCTTCATTGAGAATGCCTGTAGAAATGTTATGAAAGATATATTTGGTATATCTTGCTTATTTCTCTAGATTGGCTTTAGTAACTTGGCCCTACAGCTCCTCTACTATGAACCAACCTGTCCTGAAGTTTTCAAAACTGTACTCACAGGCATTGGTGCTCTGTGCCCTGCACAAGCTTTGACACCTCCCATCAATTTGTCCTTGATCTGACATTGGTGGCTATGCTAATGTCAGTTCCCACGTTTCTGAATATCTAGTGTATCTATTCACCTGCCTCTCCATGTGGATTATTGCCCAAGCTATGACTTCTAAAATGTAGAGAACTGCATGGGCTTCCATATACATGCAAAATCTTGGTATAATACCCATTGGGACCTCCAATATCTTGTGTTTCTTCAGAAATCCCTTGAAATTACAAAGCTCCAACCTTTCTTATGAATGGAAGGGAAAAGACTATTCCCATGTCTTACTTACCATCCTCTTGACATGAGAGTTCAGTTGCATATCACAGAATGTGTCTCAGAGTGCTGTGGTATGTAATTTCATGGCCTGAAAATGATTGCAATTAGAAAAAGTAGCAGGACGATCATTTGGCTGATCTCTTCCATTACAATCGCTACCTGCTCAAATCACCGTCATCACTTGTAGCTAGAAAAAATTCCTTCGATCACCGTTGCGTAGATAGCAATATTCTCCGCTACCTAGCGTCTCACTAGGAACCTTGGACACGCCTTCTTAGCTCAGTTTGGTAGAGCGCGTCACTAGTAATGACGAGGTCAGTCGTTCGAGTCGGCTAGGAGGCACTTCTTTTGCCATTCGTGAGCTCAGTTGGTAGAGCGCGTCACTAGTAAGATTTTCTCTTATGACGAGGTCAGTCGTTCAAGTCGGCTAGGAGGCATAGCTTTTACTGTTTTTGTGGCTTATTCGATGAGGTTCTCCATCTAAAATACATCCCTGTGCACCCTTTATTTCCCTGCACTGCCTGTCTAGATCTCCGCAGCCCTACAATCTATGCATCGAGTACTATCTTCCGTGTGCTAACAGTTTTGCCTTGAATCCGCAGCCCTCCTACTTTACTTTTAGCATGTGTCACACCCGCTCTGTCATCCCCATTTTTGGGCGACTACGTTCACCATGCGCCTCACTGTCCTCAACCTCACGGACGACTCCGTGGTATTCTCATATGGCGATGGCCGTGAACTCCTCGCCCTTTCTTCCCGCCCCACCACAATAAATACCCCCAAACGATGTTCAGCCGCTATATACCTCGGACGCGAGAAACACATAGACTGGGCGACGGTGAACTTCCAAGTCTCAAACACGAATGGCTCGTGGAAGATGCTATCCACTCCCGAGGACTCTCTTTGGCGTTTATACCTCTGCAAGGTGTGCATTCCCGCCCACTATCGAATGACCCCTCGCCTTACTCCGTTGGTTACAGGTCGCGCCCCAACATCGCAAACTCGTCATTATTCCCCGCCGATCCCTACCTTCATTCCTCTCCGTATGTCGCCAGCAGTAGCCTCCTCGATTACCATTCAACGCAATCTAGCCGATACCCGACAGTGTGCCCATTTCAAGGCTGCTGCTTCCTGGCGCGTTCTATCACCCCCTACCTTTCTCAATGACACTAACTCTCAATGCAGGAACCCACGACACAATGGCTTTTTACGGTTGGCCATTCAGCCAATGCCAATCCATCTCGACACCACTCGATGTGCAATTCCGGTCCGGAATCCGCGTACTCGACATCCGGCTTACCGACGTGAACGGCCGCCTCATCGCCTACCACGGTGCATACCCACAGAAGACACCCTTCCAAGATATTCTGATTTCCGTCCACAACTTCCTCACCTCGCCGGAGGGCTCGCGGGAAACGATCGTCATGTCGATCAAGCAGGAAGCGCCCTCTGTTGTCTTCTCTCAGCTTGTTCACGACGAGATTTACGCCGGCGCGGGCGGCCGTGACATGTGGTTCTTTGAATCCCGCATTCCAACCCGTATGTCTATGTTCGCCTATCTTCCTGCTCATCATTATTTGCAGTCGGCGAGGTACGCGGTAAGGTCGTGCTCTTCAGCCGCTTTGGTAACGGCGATGGGTGGGAGAACGGGCTAAACGGGATGGGCATACATCCCACGCGCTGGCCAGACAGCAAGTCGCTTCTGTCAATTTGCTCTCTCTAACAGACATCAGGCGAGAAACGGGGCTTCAAGTGGATGTGCAACGACACTGTTGTCCGCACGAATGACTGGTACCATATACCCTCCTTCCTGTCGATTCCAGAGAAAGTCGCGCTTGCAACTGGCGTGCTCGAGCCCCGTCCGTCAGACAAGGAGATTCCCGCGCTGCCGATAACATACTTCTCTGCGTCCAGCTTCCCACTCGCGGCGCCGCAGACTATATCGCAGGGTTTCGGCTGGCCGCGATGGGGGTTGGGTGTTGAGGGCGTGAACAATCGGACGGGCAAGTGGGCACTCGACCGGCTCAGCAACAACGAGGAGAGCTTGCGGATACGTGGCTGGACGTTCTTGGACTACTACGAGGAGCCCAAGAACTCGCTCGTTCCGCTTTTGGTTGAGTTTAACTTCCGGGGGAGGACCGAGGGTGAGGAGGGTTGGCAGGCGTGAATACTACTACTACATAGAGGATCATAATGTGTACAGTAATACCAACTACGACTTTGGGTTGTCGGTCTCTTTCTTTCTTTCGTTAGCCTTACTTCGGGCGAAATTTTTAGAGGCAAGATCCTAGTTAATCCATTGTCAAACGAAATGCTGGGCTTCGTGGAATTTGCCAAGTTTGTTTTGAACATCTGCCACCACGATCTGGTACAGGAAGCTAATACTCGTTCAAGTCAAGAGATTCTGAGTCAAATCGTGAGCCAATAACATCAGACGGGATCCCGTAGCCTTCGAGGAGATTTCGGAGTACGAGATTTCCCTTTTCTAACAAAGTCGCAGCGACATTGTGTGCTTGCTCATCGCCCAGCCGCTGGATTGCAAACGCGAAGTCGATTAACACTACTCCGTCTCGACCAGGACAGTAATCAGGGCCGGCTGGTAAGAGTATCTGGCCTCCATGGAAGTCGCCCTGGTCCACACCCGCATAGAGGAGGGCCCGTAGACACTCCCGGATATGTTGAACCTGACGCTTGGTCAGATAATGACGACATTTAGAATACGAGAGCGTACAAATTCTGTTTGTATTGCGGGGCTCCAGTCAGACATTGGAACCTCAGCAATAGGCAGGTCGGGAACGATCTCTATGAGTGCACCATATGCAACAAATTCACCTTCGAGAATGAACTGAACACTATTGATGTGATAGAACCGGCAGGTGATTTCACTCACTTCGTGGAACCCGTATGAATGGGGCAGCATAGAGCCTTGATATTCCCGCAACCGATCATAGGCAGATTCCTCGCGGCATACAAGGTCCAAAGCGGAATGCAACATCTCCAGTCGGTATGAGGGATCCTCTGTCTCTTCAAAGTCTTCTAGGAGTACATCACGCTTGGCCGGCAACAGCATGCCCAAGAAGAGTTTGAGGCAAACAGGAGATGAGACGCGACCATCTCCACTGTGTAGAACACCGAAAAATACCTGAGAGAATGCACCGGGCTTGTGTCGAATGACCTTCGTGATTTCAAACCTCAGTGTTGGCTCTGTTAGAATGTCGTCTATGCTTGTCGACCGTGGGCGGCTACCGCGAAACACATATTCGCGTGTATGACTGGGTATATCGGGAGAGGGAAACTGACATCGCCAACGGAACTCTTGTTTTGCAAACGCATTGACTTTGACCTGTAAAGATGTTCCAGGCTGGAGAGGGTTGGCAACAAAACGTTCAGCGACATCCTCTTTCCACGATAGGAACGCGATGAGATCTGGCCGACTCCGCTGAAGGGTATATCGGTCGAAATCATGGAAGTTGACGGGCGTACGAGCGTGTTCTTGGTCATTTAACGCGCCGTGAATTGCTTTGTACCATTGGCTTCCACGGAACTTGGGGGACGGATGCTGGTAGAGGAGGAAGTTGACGAGGTTTCGCAGTGAATTTGGGCCAGAAGACACATCGTAGACCACGCATTGGACGGAATACAGCGCACTTATGTCGATATAACGCACGATGGATGCTTTGAACTCGTCAGTAACGAGAATATATTTGGGTTGCTCTTGCTTCAGAAATCCGTTCCACTCGGTCAAGGACGCGATACAGGCAGAGCAATTGATGAGGCCAGAATCTAAGCCATGCCAACAGATAGTTCCTGAGCGCTGAGCCACCGCATTAGTCAAGCAGCGACGGAGACGAGCAACAGACCTGGAATATGAGGATAGCGAAGAGCACCCTCTCCGGTAACAGCGAGCCACTGTGGTATATACGCACAATGTCGCGGTCTGTACAGCATAAGTATGAGTAGGATAGAGGTCATTAGATCGTTGATCACTTGATACGTTCTGATGATCAAAATAAAGTGGAGGGTACGAGGAGTGGTCTGGCACGAATTCTCGTTCGAAGAGGTCTAGGATTGGTTCAACGTATTTTTGGAATATTGTCCCACTAGGCTTGTCAACAATGCTGAAAATGTAGCAGGAAGAGGTACAACGATGGATCAGGCTTCGGAAAGGGTAATAGTTTGAAACGCAAGGCAGCCATTGATCGACGGTATTGTTCAGCGTTGGGGAAAAACGAGACTGCCCGGCGAGACTTGAAAGGCCTGGATGTGGTAGCAGGGTGTGAACAGGTGGCGTTGAAAAAGTGAATAGGTGAGCCGGTGACCAGTTTCTCGCTCCCTGTGTCGAGAAAATCAACTGGCGATTGCAGAATGGTCGTGGTCATTTTCAGATTGGATTGACCGCTGTGACATGTTCCGTGACACTGTAAAACTTGCAGTTTTTTGCCAATTTCCCCCTTTTTTTTTTGACGACTTACTTATTTTTTGTCTGGCAGCATCTTGGCAGCATCTTGATAGCTATAGTCAATGAACAATGGATCTAAACGTTAGTCTACAATCTAATAACGATACAAAGCATTTTCGGATCCTAGCGTACAATTAAACAGTCTTAAAGTTAAATATTCCAACAGTGTTGCCGAATCCTGCGAGACTGTGCGTCCCCGCTATTGTAAACGGTGAAACGCGGGTAAACGGTAGACGAGGTACAGTGTCCCGCTTTCGCAAAGATTTGGATGAAGTGATAGAGGAAATCGAAGTTCGGGGGGTGTCTGGATGCTGCTCGACGAGTGTTGCCAGAGTCGAACTGCGGACATTGCTACGCGAGATCTCGAACGACCACAGTTCCCATCGCTCCAATGTCGCCAGGCTCAGGCCACCCACTTCAGAGCCGACTCCCCCGCTTTTCACCGTTCGTGGCTTGCGGCGGATACCAACAACTGACCGGTCCACAAAATCCCACGCTCCCCGTTCGCAATCAGCGTCGGCAACACACACAACAAACACATGCTGCCAAAGTGACACCCCAACCGAAGGTTTTGTTGGGTCCAGAGGCGAAAGCAGGTCTTGGTCATCAAGCACAGATGGTACTGTCAAGCTCTCCAGCGATCGTCGCAACGAGGCGTCCCTTTCTGACGCCCGTCGAGAATGGATACCGTGTCCTGACACGGGAAATGGAGGTGGGGGTTCAAAGATGGTGGCCAAACTAGCTCGAGGTATGAGAGGTGAGGAAGAGCCAGGAGAAGGCGCAATGCTAGTCGTTCGCGAATGACGGCCAAGGCTGTCTCGCGACGAGACCCGACGGGGAAGATGAAGATTACACGTGCAGCGACGAGGCTGATCTGACATGGATATTCGGAAAACGTGGACTATGCTGTCAACCGAGAAGGCAAGCAGGAATCCGTCTAGCTGGGGTTTCGCGCAGGAGGGGCATGGACCAGACGGGGTCGGTGCAACACGCAACTGAGTTACCCGGCCACGCACATCGTCAATGGTGGAAATCAATTCACCTGACCCGTCCCACAGCGAAACACTCCCAGATTCAGTTGCCGCAGCTACCACAAGCCTCACACTTCCGAGGATCTCCACAGGGCATAGATGCACATTGGTTACAAGATCAGCATCACTCCCGGCACGGAACGAGTTGTCCGGCAAGATCAGATTCTTTGATCCGTGGGCTTCAGTAAGCTGCACCGTTCCGTTGTCCAGACAAAAGCCAAAGAAGGCGCCATCGGAGTGTGGGAGGCGCAAGAGTTGGGTGCGAACGAGGGGTGCCTGAGCGGATGGTGTAAAAAACGTAACCTGCGAGTTCAAACCGACATTCCACTTTGCACCCAGTCCATTTTCGTAGACAGCAAGTAAAAATGGACCGGATTTTGGTTCGGCGGGGGAGCCAGATTCAGATGGCGGCGGAGTTGGGCGGATGCTTGAAGGTGTATTGCTGCTGAAATGCAGGTCTACAACAGCAGCGGACGAGTTGACCAAAGTGAGCAGCGGTAAAGGAGTCAATGCCGTCTTCCCGATACTGAAGACGACGATAACGCCCGCACCAGTTCCAAGGGCACAATACTTCCCCTCCGCATCGACGGCAGCGCAAGTCAAAGTTGCAGCTGCCGTTGAAGTGCTTGGGGAACGAACAAGCGCATCGGTAACCCCAATCGTGGCGTGGGTCCACCCTGGCATCCGCCAAATGATTGCTTCATTCTGAACGCCAACCGAAACCACAATGCTTCCGTCTGCACTGGAGGCGATAAGCTCCACATCGCTCACAAAAGCCCTCGGAAGTGTCGAGAATGAGATTTGGCCTTCGAAAGCATGGCCATCGTCGACGACGTCAGGAGAGTCTGGATCAAGCCGGTTTCTCTGCGCCTCCAGCAAATCTGCATCCTTGAGCAGGTACAATAATATACCCCAGAGAACAGTTGTGGTGACCGTGATTGGTAGAATGACGATTTTGATGAACCAAACAAGAAAACGCATCGATGACCGAGGTCGTTGGTGTAGCCTGGTCTGGAGAGTCGGGTCGGGAGCAAAGGTCAATATCGTTGGAGACTCAATGCGAAGATGCAAAGCTGTTCCATTCGGGTTGAGTGTTTGCCAAATATCCCAAGCAGGAGTTTGATGGTGGGGGAGATCTGAGGAAACATTGGCTTTGCGCGCCACTGCTGGATGGTGGACTTCTTCGACGTGAGACGACAGAGGTCGTGTGGGATAGATAGTGTAATAGAGGGTTCCGGTGATGGCTAAGAGCTGACCAGGAATCAATTGGATGCAAAAAAATGGTGGTTATGGGTTTACCATGAGTAAACTGATGTTTTTAGTCGCTCGTCCACGAAGCAGGCCGTGAACAACAGTCCCCAACTTGTCTCGCGCAGATGTAGACTTCTCGGACACCTGCCGTGCAGCTGGGGGCGGATTACTTGGCCCGAAGTTAGGATCTTGGCGCAAAAGATCATCCAACTGTTCGGTTGTGTCAACCAAAATTGGTCAAAAAGATAGAGAAGACGGACCTCAAGGCGCTGGAGATCTATGGACAGGACAGCCAAGAAGAATGTATGGGCCAGGAACCAATGTGCTACGAGCACAACAACAGCGAAAACACAGAATTGCCTGATTGCGCCAACCGAAAAGACCGCAATTACACCGAGGATGCTGTTATAGGACACGACTTTGAGCGTGTTGGAGGTTCCAGCCACGCTGAGACCTTCTGCGATGCGATGCTTTACTGGAAGAGTCACGTGGGTTTTGGAAACGGCATCAACCTACGAGAAGCGTTAACGGTAGGTCGCACAAGTCATGGTAATTGACGCACGAGATTGAACATATTCTCGACTCCGACAAAAACAATTACAATGGGGAGAAGTTCCCTACATGCATCCATCAGTCTCGAATAGTTCTGCAGCAAAAAACTTACCAAGGAACCATAGTCAATTTAAACCCAACAAGGGCGCAGACGCTGATACTCGTGATTGTGCTCACTGCAATCTCGACGAGGGCAGTGAAGGTCACACCAATACGAGAATGCAAAGAGTCCATCCGTCGGACCGACCACGAAACGAAGATGACAAATCCCGTGTAGGCAAGATAGAGAAGAGCCGAGATGGCTGTCGACTTGTTCGGACTTGACAGGGTCTCATCGAACTGCGAAAGCCGTCAGGGCCAAACAGCAACGGGTGATTGCTCATTACTCACTTGGAGTGCGATCAAAGTAGGGTCTTGCGTTGGGTCGCTCCTCCTCGAGGCACCCAAGCTTGCCGCGTCGATTGCTTGCAGCCAAGCGCGATGCTCAGCTTCCCCGACACAGTCAGAGTTCGGGAAGAAATAGGTGAGTGCAAGGAACATGGCGTAGTCAAAATGAGAGCTCGAGACTTGAGGCTCATCGGAGCCTCGGCCAGCTAATACCATTTGCGGAGTTATGGGAATTCCTGCTACAGAAGCATTGCGCGTTAAGAGCGTGTCCAAAATATTCGTGTCGCTTCGTATTTCTGCATCGTCGTATCGCCAGAAGGCAAGTGGGGACAGAACAAAGCAAGAACCGTCGTCGCGCTTCAGACAAGCGAGGTCCAATTCGTCAATTCGGCGCTCCAAGTCGAGCGTTGATTGAAGGATCTGGTTATTGACCTCAGCTTCGAACGGGCTGTGAATTAGAATCCGTTCAACACGAAGTGCGTTGTCAGCAATGCAGCTTGCGCGGGTCTTTGCCCGCGAAACGGCATCTTCCAACACGCGCAAGGCTTCGTGGCCACTCCATAGGTTCTCCAAGTCCTGCGGGTATTGCGACCGAGTGACATCAAGAATTGAGAGGAAACCCGGTCGGGCTGACCAAGTGTAGAGGGCGAGTGCGGGGTAGAAGAGGGATGTTATAACGACACATGAGACGAGGATAATACGAATCTGGTGGGTTGCGCAATGACTAAAGTCATGGAGTCAATGTAAAAATTTGACGGTGCCAAGGCCACGTACAGTCCGAACTTGTAGAGGAGCTTGCCTCCGTATGTTCTGGCGCGCCGGAGTAGGCTGGGGGAGAGGTCGACCATGCTAAAGGCACGGTGTAAGTTGTGAGGCAGGCCAGACTGCCCGTTACGTCTTGTGAGGATTCGAGAAGCGAGGAAGTGAGAGGCGAGGTTACAGAAGCATACGATAAGGTGCAGCGAAGTGGGTTAGAGCTCTTTCACCGCAGCCCCGTAATCGACTAGGCCAGCCTGTATCGCAAAGGTCGCGAGCTGAAGGGGTTTCGGCTCGGGATGTCACGCCGGTCACACTCATTCATCATCACGCGTGCCTTGATGCGCCAATTCAATTCGGGCTCTCACGAAGCTACAGATGTTGTTCTTGGACTGAACGTCTCGATGAATCTCGACTGTCCTCCTCGATAGTTGCCAACTTTTCCGAACCGTATTCGCTGTCTCTCTTTCTTCAATTCTGGTATTCCTGGTCGGATGGAGTGGCCCAGCCAATGTCTGTACTCGTTGGACTTGGATTGCCCCAGCCCAGTTTGCTTTTCCAGCCGCCCTTCTTTTTCGTCCGCATCGGAAACTCTTCCTCTGACAGCACTTCCTCCCCATTTCCACCCCACCAATCCCCCGCGTTCGGTTCCTTTTTCTTGTTTTTCTTGTTTACGCTTTTTGATGAGCTTGCTTGCGGTCCGTTCTGGCTCTCCATCCAATCGAATGAGGACATCGTTTGTCTGTCGGGTTTTGTTCCCCTGACATGCAAGTATCAGCAGACATACATTAACGAAATTGCTGTGGTCACTCACGGAAGCCATCTTGTCCACCATGACCTTTTGCTTGCTTCTCGTGGCTGCACTCGCTCCATGTAGTACTCGTCTGGATCCGGCCCCAGTTTGTCCTCCATCGGCTGCCATTGATCTGGGTAGTAGTCGTATTCGTACTCTGGCTCTCTGTGCAAGGCATTCTTCCGTCTCAGTCCAGGCGGAGAGACGAAAGCGCTCACTTGCTCGGGATAATAGTACAGCTCCTCATTCCGATCTTGTGGGTGTTGATGCTGAGCTACTTGTTGCTGTTGTTTTTGTTTCGGTTTCCGTGAGGCTTTCTTCTTTGGCTTTCGCTTTCCTTCTCGTGGACTGTTGTTATAAATTGGCATCTCATACCCGTACCCATAATCAGCGCCTTCTGCTGCTCCATATCCGTATTCATTGTAACCTTGGCCATGACCATACTCGTACCCATAAGGATCGACATGATCAGCTTGAGGGCTTTGGTATGGTCGATAGTCCTCCAAATAATCCCACTCATCGTAATGGTCATAGCCGCGAGGGCGAGCCTTAGGTGACTTTGTTGACCGATGCTTCAACTTGTCCGCCCGTTTCTTCAGTTCAGCAGCCTGATGTTTCCGCATCTTATCCAAAACTTTGGTCTTCCACTCCCGCTCCTTCCCTGCAGCAAGTTCCCGCATCTTGTCATCGAAACCAGCCTGCGCTCCCTCACGTTGAGACTCATCCAGCTCACCGATATGCCGTTGAAACTGGACAGTTGCATCACAGGCGTCCCGGTAGTATTCTTTGATTGCCTTCTCGCTCGCATTGAGAGCATATTTCTCGAGTTCAGCGGCAGCAACAGCGTCGAGGTCGGTTCCATGCATTATTGCGCCAATGAAATATAGCGGCATCGTTGGAATATCGACACTGCGAGGGCTGCTGGCGCCAGGCAACTGTTTTCCGGGGCTTGGATGAGCTGCGGGAGACTTGGTATTCTTCGATATTTCAGCCGCCCAATTGGCATAAGCAGGAGCCTCCCCGGCTTATAGACCAAGTCAATTGGCGGATAAGGAAGTTTAAACAAGACTCACTGGATGCATATATCGCTGCCAAGGGGAACCCTTGCTACTCCCCGAATCGGTTCATCAATGCCTAGCGTTGTTGGGTCGACAACTTGGTATTTGGCGCCTAATGCCGCCTGCTCCGGCATACGCATCCACCATCTCCTTCTGACTCCAACCCAATGTGCGCTTCACAGCAGTTTTTTCTTCTTCAGTCATCACCCAATGCTCTAGATGCAGCTGACGGGCTCGGACACAAGCAAGCCACCGTTTGCGGGCCTGCCAAGCAGCACCTCTTGCATTTGTCGGAGCTTTGCGGGCTTCTGGCCCGTCGCGGAACTGCATCTCGTGTTGACGCGTCACCAGCCAGCCCAGAAAGCCCTCCCATTCGCGCCGAATCGCCTTGTGGATCTTGACGTCTGTTGTCGTCGAGTAGGTGGCTTGCATTCAGCTCTAGCGGGAGAAAGAGGGGGGGAAAGACAGACGCTCTTGGTGAGATTTGAAGGCATATATCCAGATTGGTGCTGTATTTGTAGATAGAATTCAAGAGGTGAATAATCGACATTTTACGCAACGCCTCGATGACACCCACGTTTTTCTCCAGGTCAAACGAGTCGGCAGCGTCGCATACAAAACGGCCTTCGATCGCTGCCCGCCAACGCGTCTTTTTCCATCGTTAAGCATAATAAAATAGCTCACCAGAGTATACACCCGTGCTGGACCCTCCGCGCCATTTCCTTTCCCCAGCGTGTCGCCTGCGTATGCGTTCGGACAAGGTCAGAAATCGAATCGCGTTCCGTCACACAACTCGTCACTCACCTCCCTTGCCTTTGCAAGTCTCGCGGCGGCCCGAACTTCCCCGCTCCATATCCCTGCTTAGCGCAGTCTCAGTCTCGGCCGACAAAATAACCCGCACACCGAGAGCAAACCTGTGACCTCAAGCTCTTACTTGTCGACTGTTCTCTCCACCCGGTAATTTGGCCTTGAAGCCCGCTGCTTCTCGGGAACAAGCGCAACAGTCGCACCGAGTAAGCGAAAGGAAAACAAAAGGCAAGCTCCGACCCATCTCATTGGCTCTAACAAAACTCAAGACGCCGTACCGCCTCGCTTGCCGCCCAGCTCACCACGGCCTACGCGTCAGCAGACCAAGGTTGCGCAAGTCATGCCGCAATGTGTCGGACTCGGTCGCTGCTTAAAGTCCATCGCAAGCCCGCCTTTCTTCGAAAACGACACACAGCTCTGTCAAGAAGGTTAGTTAACACTCGTCATTTTCACCCGCAAGCTCACCCGATCCAGCTTGCAAACGCGCAACCATTTCCCGCTCCAACTCAAGCCGCGCACAAGACAGTCTTGTTGCAAGTCAGCAACTGCTTGTAACAACATCGACAACAAAACTCACCGACCTCAAGTCCAGCATCCCGCTTTCCCCAGAGTATTCCTCCGCAAGCAAAGGCGGCGCGGACCATTCTTCCAGTCAAGTTGGTGGTCGCGTTCAACGTTGTCGACAGCAGACCTCCAAACTGCTTCATCAGCGAGATCAAGTCTTCCCACAAGGTTAGTCGTCGCTGTTAATACTGTAGACAGCGAACTCACCAGCCATTTTGAAGCTGTAAAACCACCCCAGTCCGTCACCACATCCCCTCATAACTGCACTATTCAAGACGACCCCGGTTCAGCGCTAACAAGAAGGTTAGTCCTCGCTCTCAATGTTTTGGACAGCCTACTCACCAAATATAGGCTTGAACTGATCACGCATCCAGCTCGCGCTTCGATCTAAACGATGTCGAGATGCTGCGTCAGCGTGAACAGCAAGACAATTTTGAGAGGGGGCTGTAATCAAGGTCAGTCAGTGGTTTCAACGGTGTAGAGGACAAAAAAACCACCAATTATAGTCTTGTTGGTGTGGAGGGCGGCTTCAATCACTATCGCTACCAAAGCAATATCGGCCCTGCTAAACCAAGTCAGTCGACATCACCACCGCCATTGGTTAGCCACGCGCCTGGACTGCCGTCAACACCCTCGCCTGCCACACAGAACTCGACTTGCGAGGTTGTTGCTCTTGCGGTTGGCTGCAAATGAAGGTGGGAGGAAGAAAACTGAAGGGTCAGTGAGCGGCTTTGACATTGTAGCAGACAGAACTCACCAACTATATAGACTCGCGATCCTACAAATTGTAAGCATATAGATGATAATAAACACAAAAAACGACGAGCCTTCAAGGCTCTTGGTAAGTTGTGTTCTGCGCCAAAATCTCGATACGAGACCCGACAATTGTGTCTAGCCAACAACCCAGTTAGCGCAACACAAAACAACAGTGTCAGCACCAACCAATGAGTGTGCCGCAATCTTCCTTGCCTGCCGCCCCGTCCAACGCTTGACGTTGCTGTAAGACCAGGTCAAGTTTCGTAGTGAAAATCTCACGTTTGTCAGCGCTCTTTCAAGCATCGCAAGGATTTTCGACAAGTGAGTTGAGTTGTGCGGACAGGGCAAACGGCCCGAGCTAAGTATTGTGCTTAGGGCGATTTGGAGTTAATGATGAACACCTTACAACGACAACGAGCAAGGTGCTCATGGGATAGCCAGATGCAAGCCGGGTCGAGGGCGGGCTGGAGCACAAGCTTGCGCAGACAGCGAGTGTAAAAGCACTAGAAGTCATTATAAGTACGGCAAGTGATTGAAGAATATAACGCGCCTTTGATCAACGACGACAACGAGCAAGGTGCTCATGGGCTAGCCAGATGTGAGCTGGGCCGAGGGCGGGCTGGAGCACAAGCTTGCGCAGACAGCGCAAGTGGTGAAGCTAAGCACTAGAAAGGTTATAAGTACGGCAAAATCAATGAAGAACATAACGCACCTTTGAGCAACAGCGACAACGAGCAAGATGCTCACGCCGGTCGAGGCAGGTATTCCGCATAGGGCACAAGACCGTCGTCAACAACATGGGCGTTGGGGAAGAAAGTGTTCGGCTTCCCGCTGGCCGCCGGCTAATGATTCACAGCCACACCGATCACGCTTGTCAAGAACAACCACAACGCTCAAGTCGACACACCGTCCCGTCCCGTCTGCTGCTGCTACGGCCTGTAACCACCACCCCCAACTCTGTAACGCCTCCCGGAGCCCGCTCTGAGTCTCTCAACGACAGATGTCGGGCCGCCCGTCGCCGCAACTGTTTACCCTCGACATCTCATGCCGACTCAACCAATACGCTGTTGCATCGCCGTCTCTCTCGCCCCCCGCAACCGATAAACGCGTCAGT